CCTTCCTTCCTTCCTTCCTTCCTTCCTTCCTTCCTTCCTTCCTTCTCCTTCCTCCTCCCTCTTTCTCCTCCTCCTCCTCCCTCCTCCTGCTCCTGCTCCTCCTCCTCCACACCCACACTCCCTTCTAGCACCGGTGATGTTGCCTAGTCAGACAGTGAAACGCCTGCAAGAAAGCAACCAAGCCCAGACAGCACCAAGGACACCTCTCATTTTCAACCCTGAACTACCAATATTCTCCTCTATTAATAAAACTCTTAAGTTCGGTTGAAGCTTTTATTTAAACTGATCAGAATGGGGGAGAGGAGGAAGACCACCTCCGTGACAAAAGTACTCTGCCCTTCCGATGGGGAAGACTATTAGGGCCAGGACTGGCTTATATCTTATGACTCTGTCCGGTCAATCAAAAGCCCAACTTTAAAATAGGCTTTCAATTCCGTACAACAAGGAATCCAAAGAGGAAAACAAGGCAAGGAGGAAGAGATGGCAGCCTTGGCGGGAAACTTTGGGAAACTTAGCATGGCAATAAAAAAAGAAAGAAATCTAGACTTCAACTTTCCTTTCCTTTCTTTTTCTACAAGGAGGGCTGTTTCATTCCCTTCCTTCCTTCCTTCCTTTTCTCTTTGTAATGGGCAGGAAGCTTCCAAAACATACATCCATGATCCGGAAGAGCACGGGTTTCCTGCAGATGGGGAGGTGGGAAGGGGGGGGTGGGGGCTTCTGTTAGGGACCTGAAATTCTCCCCAAGTGCAGGAAACACACTCACCCTGATTCTCCTTCGGCCAGGCCTTTGAGGAAGTCCACAAAGGAGATTCGGGTCGCTACAGCTGCCGAGCCACGAACGTCGTGGGTGAAGCCTGGTGCGAAGGGATCGAAATGGAAGTCTGTGAGTAGCAGGGCAATGTTCTCGCGGGGGCGGGGTTCTGTTCAGCTCACTGGCAGTCCTCGCTTTATGACCTGATGTTGGGTTCGGCATTTCCAACTCTCTGTTCCTGACCTGGGTTTCCTCCAGCAGCACGGAGCCGAATCCTCGTCCCGATAAACCCCCTTTTATTTAATCGACAGTGAATTTCCTCTCCGACAAAGTCCCGGCTAACATTCTTCCAAGAGAGTTTCCAATGACAGCTGTCAACTCACAAAACAGTCCTATGCCTGTTTTAGTAGTTGCCATTAAAAAAAAAAAAGAAGGGAAGAATGGAATTTGGAAGAGCAGTGCAGCAGTTTGAAAGCAGAAGTATATTCCAACTCTTATCTTTAAAAGATTGAAACTAAAATACCAGAGCTTTTGCCCATGAATATATTTAATTGGAGAACGTGATGGATGACACCCAGCCTGTGAAGATGCTCAATTGGAGAATCTGCTTTAGGAGACACTTAAGAGGGAGGGGGGGAAACAGGGTCACAGAGGAGGTAAATTACATAGGCCAGAGTTGGCTTCATACAGGGCAATGTCAGTATGTTGCCCCTAATAAATCCTTTGAAGTTTTTTGAAGTTTGGCTCGAGAATCCTGATTTAATTAGGGCGATTGCTGGAATCCTGACATACAAGCCTTTTATCAGGCTTAGAGCGTGGACAGGCCGATATCTTTCAGACTCCGCAATATTTGGCAAGCATGCCGAAATGAACTAATCGTCTTCCTGCAAAACCCCCACTACCCCTTTCTCTCCTCTTTTATTCCCTATGGGAGGGGGCATTCATCGTCCACCTGTGGCTTTACTCCCCAAGTCGGCCCTTGTTCCTCAGCTGTTCCCTTCTCCTGGCAGCTCTGTGCATGCGCATACTGGGAACAGGCTCCAGCTGTTCTTCTGCCTCTGATGTCTGACTGATGTCTGACTGCGAAGGCAGCTGATAACTGTTGGACGGCCCTGGCCCCATCTCTGGCTCTGATGCAGAGCACTTGTCAGAGACTTCCCCAGACTCCAGGACTGGTCCATGTTCCTCCCGAACCTCCTCACTGTCCGAATCTGCTGCCAGCTCCTCTGGCCGCTGTCGGGCCACAACACACTCAGGGAAGCGAAACCTCACAACAGTTTTGGTAGCCATGGTTGCAGTCGTTAGGCAAGGACATCCTATGTCTCTTGCCTTGTTGCAATCACCTTCATTTCAACTGTCCTCCCCCGTATCTCAGCCTCATCTATCTCTGAGGGAAAATTCCACTATATGAGGCAAAGAGGCAGAAGACCGGCACCCATGAATTAGCAGTCAGAAAACATGATGAAAACTCCTTAGTTTCACAACGTATGGAGGGACTTAACTGGAGTTGCAATTGGGAAATTGACCATCGCAGACCAAGCCAAGTCCCAAAAATTCTCGGGAATTTCTAGAGGCCTGGCACTCTCACAAATTAGCCATCAATAAACACATGGACATAAACAGTACCTACATTACTGTGCAAAAGGGACAATCAACGAGCCAAAAAGGGAACCCCAAACCCAAAACACCTGCCCACCAACAGTCAGCACCCAGATAGGCATAGACTAACTCCAAGTTTAA